AGCATGGCGCAGTAGGATTCCTCGCCCACACCCAGTGCTCCAAGTCCCCAGATGTGCGCCTGAAGACTGTCGTACAAACGACGCAGGGTTCGGGCATTGCCCTGTAGTGGTACCTTCTGGATGTCCATCAGACTTTCCATGTGGTTGTGTACCAGAGTCTCTTGCTTGCCGAACCGCTGCTGTTGAAGGTCGATCGCGTCCGTATAGCATTGAGCGGTTGGCTGTAGTTTCGGATGGCAGCTGATCCATCTCCGGTAAGCGCTGATCTCAGGTAATTGAACTTTTTCGATGGAGTCAGTTCCGGATTCTCGTGGATTGTGGTTTCACTCCCAGAATGCTTGCCAATTCTTCCGGTTGCCGTTGAACTTGATAAATTCTAATTTTGGAAGCTTGACTTTCTACGGCTGTTGCTCTCCAATCGTTCGAGGGACCACTTGCTCGTTGGCTGTTCTCCACGCCCTTCGCCTTCTTTCTGAGCTTCGTGAGGCATGTGACAATCTTGTCAGTATAATCTATGATTTGCGTGAACTCCATTTTCACGTCTCTTTCGGTAATCAAAGGCTCGATCGCGGCATCTACGTGGCCGAGTTGATCCCGAGAGAGGCTTATGCACTCAATCAAAATCTCTAGGTCATCGATGACTGCTGGAGTCAGCTGAAATAATTCTTTTGCCTCGCTGAGGAGTTTAGTTACTTGTGTTTGCAGAGTCTTCCGTTTCTTCTTGAGGATGTCCATGATCTTTCAGTCTTGTCTCGATGGAACGTTGCTTCTGTCGTTCGATAGGTATTGCTTCGGTCTACCAGATTCCCTTCGTCGAATCGTTCCGTAGCAGGTTTCCGCACAAAATGCATGAACTTCTGGTGGTCATTGTTGGTTACATTGATGCAAACATTTATTTACACTATGCACAAGCAACAAAGCAGTTCGATCTGACGTGTCAATCTCATGTGTTCCGAGCACAAGCCCTGGGCCATGCGCTCCCAGGACACTAGCTCCTTGCCATGAGCTCCTTTTCAAAACGTCTCTGGCCCATTTCCTCGTCTCCAGTCTGTGATCGTTGTTACACATTGTTTGTAAAGTAAAAAATTGGTTAGTTTGCAATAAACAGTGAGTTTCTTATATGTCAAATATTGATCTCTTCATTCTAACATTAATTATGTACTGCTCGTGCAAGCTGTTGCTCCCAAGTGCTTGGTAGGAAAAGATACATATTTAGGAGGTTTGAAGGTAGATAGCATGCAAACTTACTCAGCACTTTGACTGCTTGAAGCCCGTGTAGTCTGCAGGGTTCGGGCCGGGGAACTCTTTGCGGACCCTGGTCACCACGCAGCTGGGCAAGGTGACCCGGTTCTCCTTTCCGAGCCTTCCGTGTATCCACCAAACAAATTGGCAGTATGCCGTGTACCTGTACTTACTGCAATGATAACATAATAAAGTTATTTAGTTACACTGCCAGGTATCCACTTGGAACTAGAAGGCATTCATTGTTTTTAGTTCGATGGCCAGCAGCAAGACGCCACAAGCTGTAGTTTCATTAAAACATGCATATTCGAGCGAGCAAGCATGTAATGAATGGTTTGCTTCTAAATTTTGGGTATGTTTTTCAGGCCACCAATAAAAACCTGCCTGTGTCGGAAACTTCAATTGCCAACATTGAGGCACTGCCTTTTCTGGTTCATCTAATGCAAATCTCGCTTTGCATCCTCCCTTTATTTACAAAGCGGTGCACATGATAGTAAAAAAGTATAGCAATTTAGTTTCACTGTACGTACGCATTTATCTCCTTTATGTTTCTTGTGCTGAGAGGCCGGCAGACTCTCAGCTTCCTGTACTCTAGGTCCAGGATATCCCTGTCCAGGCAGTACAGCTCGAAGAGCCTGTGTGCCGTGATGCAGGGAAGGCTCCCAGCCTTCTCTTTGACCTTGCACTGCTCCTTGCAGCACACACTTTCCACTGGTGTAGACATGGTGCCACACCGGGATTCGCAGCAGCACCTGTTTCCCAAAGGTAGAAACATGAATTAGTGCATATGTCAACATTTCTGTAATGCTGTGTGGGCACTGGTGTGGCTACACACTTTGCCTCTTTCTTTTCTCAATCCAATTGTGTCACCCAAACACTGCTCAAGCCTCAAATGCCTTTTGGGAGTATTCACAACCACGATGCAGTCACTATACAGCAGCTACATTTTTGCGTATAATAATATAGTAATACTTTATTCATATTCCGGAATCTTTGACCCAGGCATAGAGGGCCGCAAAAAAGCAGTGCTGCCCATGCCACAAAGGCCTGAGTGCCCAACCTGGGGCCCAGCATTGCGCAAACACGTGCATAATAAAAAAAAAAAACAAAAAAAAAAAAAACGTACAGCGCGCACGTGAGTACTTCGACGGTGTATCGGCACTACGTGCAGGTTCAAGCCCGCACGCAGCTGATGCATCTTCAATTTCTAACGCGCCTTCGCGGGACAGGTGCACGGGTAGCCCCTGCCTTAGCACTGACAATTTCTAGCAAAAGGAGGCGCATCTTTCTGTAGCCCAAACGATGGAGCCGATAAGTTCAGGTTGGAGCTTACTCGCCGCCGCTCGGCGATACCAAGAGCATGTCAGTCACTAGTACACCTGATAACATAATATATAAAACCCCATTTATCATCGGTTCTTCGAGGCTACAAGTCAACTTCGCGCAACCCCAAAACAATCGGTTCTTCGAGGCTGCAAGTCAACTTCGCGCAACCCCAAAACAATCGCTCTCCCGGGCCTATGCAAGACATACGCTGCGCCATGTGCGCGTGTTCTTACCAGCGTGTGTTGAGTAGCCGCCGCCTGTCACTTCGCGGCAGAGCGTCTGGCGAGGACTCCGCTGCTGGCTCCGTTGAAGTTTCATTACTGTCCGACGTCGCGGACGGGTCGCAGGCGTAAGGCAGCACCTTACGCCTCTTCGCTGGCGGGTGCTCGCGCTCCTCATCCGACGGTACTGCGTCGCTCCCGCTGCAGCTACTGCTGCTGCTGCTGCCGCTCTTGGCGCACGCACGTGTCGCCATAACCACGCCACCGAGCTCGAGGTAAACGCGGCAGGTCACAGGTGACAGCAAACCAACAAAGTTGTGATTTTTCGCGTCTCCTGAGGCAGCTGCGCGAGGTCTCTGAGGTCTTTGACGTCACGAAGCGAGGTTCCGGAGACGCTCACCAGGGGCACCTTAAAATGCTTATTTTCCGGTTTATTAAAATTTACGTGGTATTTTCGCTTTACCAGCGCCAGTAAAAATTAAATGACGTGCCATTCTTGCGATTAAGACCAAAAACGTCGACCCGATTTCACAGTTCAGTATCCCTTTAAGGGGGGGACACCGGCTAGAGATTTAACTTCTGAACTACCCAAGTGACCGGAATGAAATTTGCAGTGGAGATTTAACATCAGATGTAGGTGTTCTGTGCAACCTTTAAGCTCTCTAGGACAAATAGTAGTAGGGGATGTGGGTCTTCGGGCTATCTAGTTTTTATAACTGATATGTAAATATTTCAGGAAGAGTTATTGCCTCAAAATATGTGATGCATATCTGTCCTGTGTAAATTTTTGAAAACCTTTTTTTTCCCCAATATGGACTTCAACTTAAAACAAAATGAAGTAGATAGCTTGATTCCACAGCAAATTTCAGTTCAGAAACATCTTAATTGTGGTATCAGAATACTTTTACCTTCGAGCAAAAGATTTCTTCGTATGAAAATTTGCAGCAAAAAGTGGAACTGAGAAAAATGCATTCGAACATTGAACTCCTTTATTTTGTTACTGCCTCAAATGTATTGAAAATACTTTATATCAACGTAACTTTGGTGTATGGTTATCAAATTTAGGGCAAGAGTGTATAATTAATTTCTAAAACCGAAAACCTCAAAATACAAAAATTAATTTTTAAAGAAAAAATTGAAATTTAGGCTTATGTCCCTCTTAAGGTTTTCCTGGAGGCCGTCCTTGAGGTCGCCCTAGAGGTCGTCTCAGAGGTCTTTCTAGATGTCGCCGTCGAGGATGACGTTAAGAATGAGGTCTAGGACGACCTCAAGAGCAACCTCTTTGGTGATCTCAAGGACTACAAATATTTAGTGGCGAGTTTCTCCGCTAAACTTGGCAGAAAAATTGATGTCATGAACTATGCACCAATTCAGTTTCCCCGCTAAATTTGGCGGTGTGGAACAATAAATGCTATCGCATTCACAGATAATCACCCCTACGGTTTCTACAAATTTGCCTCGGCCATTAATTTGCAGCCCTGTCATTTTTTTGTTACTGCTCCGTATTATTTTTATTTCAACCTTAGAAACTAGACTACCCAAGCTCAAACAATTTATGCGGCGGAGTAGTTTTGACAATGACGGCAACTGTTTTTTGGCAGTTTGAAAAGCAAGCAACTGAACAAAGCTCTTTAATCGTATTTCAGCTCATAAGATACTCGCAGTGCGATCTAGGGCAGCCGATGTAGACAAGAGCAAACAAGGAACAAAGTCAAACATTTTTTATCAGATTTGTTTTTGGATCACACACCAAAAGCTAACCCAGTTCCCTTTTCTATCCTTGGTCCATGTAGACGGTGGGCTAATATTAGAATACTATATTACAATACATATCTATACATAAATTTAAAAAAAAAAAATTAAAGGAAGATTCATGGGAGGATCCTTAGGGAATACGTTAGCATGACCCTTGAGAAACGCGACACACATTCCCCTTCGGGAAAAGCTAATGCCGACCCCTTCACTTTTCTGTTTTGCATCCTCTATTTCTTGCTACCTCTCTTTGACTTTGTTACAGGGTCAGCGTTAGCGTTTCTCAGAGGGCAATCTGTGTGCCGCTGCCCAAGGGTCATGCCAACGCACTCCCTATTTTCTGTCATGTAGGCACTAATGCCAACACATTAAAAATGCATGCACCATTCCCTTGTCTGATAACAAATAATGTAGGTAACTTGACATATTAAGCACTGCAGCCAAGCGAGCTCCGGTTACCTTCGGTTCTCCTTGTTGTTATTGCAGAGGAGGGTCATGTCGGAGAGGAACAGCTTCTTCACCTCGATGAGCTCTTCGCAGGGCTTTGACTGACGGATTAGTGTAGCCACCACCTTCAAGATCACTGCAAGCAAGATACGAGCGGTTCCAACACCCAACGGATCAACAAGCCCACTCGTTCGTAAACAATGCTATCAGGCCAATCCATGAGCTTAGCTCTAGTAAGATGCGTGGTTTGGGTCTGTGTGCGGAGCACGGGACCCAGAAGGCGAACTTCCAGCCCCTTCGACTTTAACACTAGGGAAACAAAAGGGGACTTAAATAGAGTTGTATGGAATTCCTACGTCACCCCGTCGTATAGAGAGCGTTTGACGCCGAGAAATCTGGAGGCGACAGAAACCTACTTGGGTTTTCCAACCGGTAGTGTGACTCTGGCTCAGAGTGCTTGGTGTAGAGAATCTGGTTTGAGATGTGCTCCGTAAGCATCTGTACGAAAAAAAAAAAAAAAATTCATAAAACAAAGATGACGAAGCAAGAAAGCGACGAAGTGCTGTCAGATGACAACCCCACCTCATAGAGGGCGTTGTAGGTTGCCATGGTCAGGTGGTCCGAATGCAACAGAAGCCGCTCTGCCAGAAGCATGTACAGGTTGTGCGGTGTCATCACATCATGCTTCCTCCTGCAAAGGTAGAAATAAAAAAAATTGCGGTGGCTTAGCTCGGCCATGCCAGGATATACGTAGCATGAGCTTATGCGCGCAAAATGAGAGGCGCTATCAAGCGGCTCCGGTGCAGCGTCAGACTTTGGCTACTGCGCAACGGAGGCGCACAGCTGGGCACGCGGCGGCACCAGTGCGTCTGCTGCGGTTATGACGTTGCTCCTCTGGAATGCGCAGACCGGCGAGGCAAGCGTGGCGGCGGCGGCGGCCCCGGCGCGCCAGTTGTGCGCCGTGTGACGTCACTGCTCCTCGCGCATACACAGCACGGCTCATTATGCGAGCCACACGAAACTGCTCAACCTCGGCCAGTGTAGCTCACGCTACAAAATTTAGCAGTCCCGCGTTAATCCACAGTACAGCACGTCACGGCAAAGTTGTTGGGCGTCGACGTCGCGTTCCTGCACCGTGGGGTGCGTGAACAAAAGTGTTCAAAACTAAATGACATGTGACCTTTTTGTTTGGAATGCTTTTGTTTCTTGTTCATTCCGGAGCGCCTGAATGCGCGTCTCCCGACACGAGCTCTTGGCATTAACAGTGCTACAACGGCATTTTGTTGTTGGCTATTCTTTTTCCAGAGAGCATGTGCAGGGGGCATCGGGTATTACAAAAACAAAGCATAGTGCGGGTTATTAATGCCGTTATGCAGCAGACCGATGTTTGATTCCAGAGGGGCGGCAGGCAATCTTTTTCAAGGATTTGGCAACATCAACGACGGACGCCCTACACTGCCAGCTACAACATCAACAACTAGTACTATAACTGCATCAACAACTATACAACATGTAGAACGAATGTCCTTTCCAGTGGTGGGAAAAGCCCATAATAGCTTCACCTGTAGAAAAGGTATGCCCAAGAGTTAAGGCGGAGATTCCACAAGAAACCTTCAGATTTTAAGTCACAAAGAAGCCATCTGGACTCATCAAACTGGAAGACATATTGAATAGTGGTGTAACTTCTTCAGTACTGAGATTTAAGAGTCTCAGTACTGAAGAAGTCACACCGAACTGAGTCTCTCGGCGTACTAAACATCCTACCGCGTCTCCATCCATACCCAGCTCCTTCACACAAATGCGAGCCAACAACGGACCCCAGAACCCTAATGGACGAAACAAAAGTGGTAAGACTTACTTGTGGGTGCTCCTACTAAGGAAGTAGCCAAGCAGCTTGAGTGCCTGGAGTCGAATGCTTTCGTTCGTGGAACCCAAAAGTTTGAAGATTGCCCTAAAAAAGAAAACAAGAAATTATACAAGCTCAATCATGCTGACAAAAACTGATAAGCACACAACGTGCGATAAGCTTTCTAGGGAAGAAGAGAAGGCCGTGCGAATGGCACCGACTAGCGAAGACGCTTTCATTTCTGACGCATGCCGTGAGATGGCACTACACGACTGGAAAAGCCGCGAAGCGCGTGAGCTCCTTTATGTGCCACGCAAATGACCTCGCTTTCGCGTGGTTCGTACTGAGCCTGGATAGCTCAGTCGACAAAGCAATTGGGTCACAATCTGAAGGTGGCGGGTTCGAATCCTGCCAGGGGAGTGAAGTCTTTTTATATGGTTCCCTAAAGGAATATAATGCTTCTCGGTGTTGGTTTTTCCTCACAGCCAGCTACTACAGTTAGCCATTCCATCCAAACATTACAAAACTCCATAGAAATCGGCCGTAAAATACATTGTGTTATAAGACCATCGCCATCAAAAACTATGGACTTTTGTGACAATCCACTGGTCGTCAGCTTGTTCGGACGCCCGTACGAATCTCAATAATGTCAAGGCAGAGTTCTTACCTCACACCATTCTTACAGTCAAACGCTGGAACCATCGAGGCGGGGTGCTCAGCCATCAAGTTCATCAACATCTGGAGAACGTCGTGCAGGTTTTCGTCCTGGAACACGTCGAATCAAAGTGCCCAGAACGGCGGATTCAGAGCCTATTGTTCTCGTTCACGCTGTCAGACCTCTTGCTTCTAAAATTCAGGCTTCAGAGTTTTAGAATCCCATAGAATCTAGCTACTATGTGTATCCTTCATTTCTCACGTTGCAAACATCGCTCAAAGGCAAGGAGCAAGAGCACAAGGTCTGCAGAGCGACTGGTTTGCACGAGAAACTATGCCACAAAAACACTTCCTAACATTTGCTTTCTTGCTTTTCACCATGCTGTGCTCGATTCGTCAAATAGACCCTGCTTGAACATGAAGCCCAATGCACTTGTACAACAGCACAGAAAAATCCCTCATCTCAGACACAGTTCAACTCCGGACGCCCGAAATGGCACAGGGTCCCTCAGCCTCTACGCAACACATGACGGACATCTCCACCCCCCATTCAAGATCCCAAGTGCACTCTGTAACAATACCCATCAAATCTGGAACTTGTCAAATTCATTTGCATTCACATTACAAAGTATGTGAGAGCCAAAAGTGGTGGCCCTTCATATTACAGTGTTTGATCGAGCCAAAAACTAGTGATGGGTCGAATTTTCGCCGAAACTTGGGGTATGGCAAAGCTGAAGTTTTGCCAAACTTTTCTAAAAACTCGGTAAAGATTCGGCAAAAATACATTGTTGCCAAACTTAAAAATTGATATTTCATTGAGTTTTTTTTGTAAAAATAGTTTAGGTTTTTTGGGGTTTTTTTTAATGCATATTGACAAAGTTATTACTAAATAAGGTGATATTCTACAAGATAATTGTATCGGTGTCAATTTTGTGTGTTAACTGGCAATTTTACAGTGGCTTTATGTGGAAGTGGTGGGCCAACGAGGTTGGGAAGTAGCAAGTGCAGTCACAATAGATGAATTTCGGTTTTGAGGCCTCATGAGCACAAGCCTGCAAGTATGTACATTCTTAAAATAAAGGAGATAACACTGCATTCTTATCTTCTGTGCGAGTCATAGTTTCGTGTACAAAAATGCGTGCAACGACTGCTGAGCCTCATCCAAAAGAGATAACAATATTATTGTAGGTATGCATGTTTTCGATTTGAGTCACTTTACGCCAGCTTTGCATAAAAGGGTGCGTTCCATATTTGCAACATCTCGTTTTTAACTTTTGAAATAACAGTTTTTGATGTTAGGACAGAAACAGGCATTTAGGAAGATGGGAAGAGTTAAAAATGTTGGATGCGCAGCGTCGAACATGATAGTTCTGTGTTTAGTTTTATGCGGATAGATGAAAACCGCGAAACAATGCGAATTAAAACGCAATATATTTTGTCTTGGCACAAACTACTTGTGAGCCGAAAACAAGATTGCTATAATTGCGAGGAGTGCTTTAAAGTACTTGTCAATCAATGTTGCAACTACTTTGTTGTATACCTGGAAAGGTCAAATTAAAATCACAATATCCAGAATGTACCACATCATTTGCCACTTGCGCATTGGACTGCATCAATTCCCGTTTTATCTTCTGTTCTTGAGGCAGAAAATATTGAAGAGAACCACTCTCACAAAGGCTGACAAACGTACAGTTACCACATACTTACTCTGCACCTCACCGTAACCGCTGGTAGTACTACACTGTACGATGGTAATCGCAAGGCGTCCATTTGCAATCCATGGCCCGTAGTGTTCTCGCGCGTGTGCAGACATTTGCCAAAATTTTGCCGAATCTCTGCCAAACTTTCCTTGAAAAGTTTGGCATGTGCCAAACTTTTTCATATCTGATGTTTGGCAGATTTGGCCCATCATTCTCAAAAACTCACCGTCCACCACATCGCGGCCGACTCCAACTTCACAAGATCATTCATCATCACATTGCGAAGTCACCAAGTTCATAAGCTCATTAAACTCACATTAACTCACCATGCCATCATATCATGGTGATGGTGATTTGAGTGATATGGATGGTGAGTGACAAGAAGTCGCTCACCATCTTGTTATGAACTGATCAGAGTTCATGAAGCTACTTATTATCATGTCATGAAATTATCAAGTTCAGTTGCACTCACTTTCACCTTATGGTTTTAAATGAGTCTGAGTGAGTCTGATGAGTTTGTGATGTGAGGTTTTAAATGAGTCTGAGTGAGTCTGATGAGTTTGTGATGTGAGGTTTTAAATGAGTCTGAGTGAGTCTGATGAGTATGTGATGTGATAAGGAATGGCTCCTTATCACATCACAAACTCATCAGACTTACTCAGACTCATTTAAAACCATAAGGTGAAAGTGAGTGCGACTGAGCAAATTCACGAGTGAATCTGCCGAGGCAGAGTGAAGGGTCACCTCGTGGACAGTGGTGAGGTAGTTGAGGATGCTCTGCAGTTCGTCCTCCTTGACTCCGTTCCCCTTGAGGATGAGCTGCTTGAGGAAGATCAGCATGTAGGCTCGGATTGACAGGATGTCGTTCTGGTTAGGACGAGGGCCGTCTGCCAGGAAAGACGAGAAGAGAGTGAATTTAGTGGAGAGCCTTTCTCCGCTATATTCGGCGGGAACAGTCACGTGGCACTGCGACACTTTCCAGTGATGGTGTCACATTATGTCAGGGTGTCACACAAACACTAACTTCATTCGATTTACTTGCACCTCCTGCACCGGTGCAGAAAACTGTAGGGCAGTGTACCTACGGCACGTGTATTGAGACATAACCGGAAGCGTACGGCCGTACACTTCTCTGCACCGGTGCATGAGGTGCAGGTATATAAAAAAAGCTACTGTCTGCTAAACTGCAGACGATATGCCACATGGTTTGGTCACATGGTCTGTGGTGTTCATCGGCACTGAACAGCCTTCGTCTCCGATAATTGAACGATCTTCCTGTCAAACAAAATCAAAAGGTTTTAACGCAACAATGGCGTCAAGGCAATGACCGGTGCACCGCATTCAGGTGTGGCGTTCGTCAGACGATGCAAGGTGTGTCAGAAGTGGGATCACCTTGCATCGTCTAATGAGCGCCACATGGTCAATATTCACCAATTAAATTTCTCCACTAAGTTTAGCTGGTCAGCCAGAACGACAATCAGACACCGCCACATGGCAGGCGTAGGGGATGGGGTCATAGACAGCTACAGCTATAAAAGAAGCGTTACAACGCAAAATAATTTGATGGAACCACTTTGGGGCAGACGGACAGATATGAGGGCATCCTAGATGATAATTGGCCGAGTGCTGATCATTTGATTGATCTGATGGCTCCACAATAAATTGACTGTCCAGTCGATCAACGTCTCACCCAGGCCCTTGGGGGTGATGCCGCTCTTGTTGCGAGGGTTCACCACCCAGTAGTAGTACTTGAGGGTGTGCATGGTCTGCAGGACGGTGCTGACGCGGCGCACATTGTTGTAGATCTGGGTGTCGCCCAGGAACTCCGTTGCCAGGTAGGTGTACAGCTTCGTCTGAACCTGCACCCAAACACAGACACCACGGTTAGCAGTCATTGCTGTCGTCACATTTGCCTCCCTTTCGGCGATGGCGTGTATCCCAGAAAAAACAGACCAGTGTCTTAGCCCCCAGCGATACAAATAAAAAATACTAGTCTCTCATGAAAAGAGGGGCTGCGCATAAAACAAGATTTTTACTTTTTACAGCACTCTCGGCATCGGTGTTGTTCTTGGAAGTTCATGACTATGCATTTACGACACTCTCGCACTATGATATGTAGAAAGGTTTCCAAAAAACGAAGTCCTGCAAAAGGTGTCAGCATAAACAAACATGGAGGCACCCATGAAACAGAGCAAACACAGGTCTATAGTGTGTTTGTACCGTTTAATTTATAAATAATAAAGACTCAAAGATTCTTCCTCCGAAAGCCTGAACAAAAACTTGAGGCCCTTTGCTTATTGCCTTTGGAGTTCTCTTTTTTACAGCGATAGCTGACGTAAGAACTACCCAGCTGCGTTCGCGGCATCGGCGTTGCACTAAGCCGAAAACTCCTGTTCACCCCCTCGGCCGAGAGATAGCAGACAAGCCCATGCACCCGGCATCATCTTTCGGCCGAGGGGCCCAAGAGCGTGCACTGACAGGGATACTTGGTTTTGGGCCTGCTCTGTGTGCCGACTCTACAATGATTCAAAGGTGAAGACCTACAAATAATCATCCATCATCACTGGTGATGTCATCGACTCATTGTCTGCTTCGGAATGCTCATAAAAGAGGAGCCACATCACGTCAATTTTCCTTTTAGATTTCAGCATGAGCACATGGGAGGGCCACGCAAAGTTAGGACATCATCCGCAGACAGCAAATACGAGGCTCACTGCATCAAAGCAGAGCGCAAATGCCTGCGTTCGCTGAGCAATCGCTATCACTTCTTTGCATGCTGCTGCAAAAAAGCTGCAAATTTTTTTAAGAACGCAAACGAGATATAAAGGCCTCCGATTGAAAAATGTTAGTGCACGCAAATCAGCCATGCAGATAATTCTACTTTGGTAATTGGCAGCTCCTGCAGTAAGTACTACCAGCACCATGGCATATGCTCTAGCACTCACAATCGTAGGTGTGTAGATCCAGAGAGCAGGGTTGAAGAGGATGTGGTCCAGCAAGTGCTTGAGCAGCAGCTCCCCGTTGCTGGAGTACACTGTGAGCAGGTGCTTGGTGAGCGACAGAAACGAGTGCAGCACCTCGTCCGTGATGTGCTCTCGGGATGCCTGGGGACAGAGACGGGGAGCCCTCGACACCGTGAGCTGCCCTGATGGTCTTGTGCAAGGGGCAATTAACGACGGTGGCATAATACGTTAGAACCTCTGTAGAGTCGTTACCATTTGCACAAACCTTTTTCACTACACAAACAGTGCCTTAAATGCTTCCACTGATATTAGCATACTTAAGCGATCTTAATGCATCCATGATTTTAAAGTGCACCCAGCTTTTTTGTCCAAGAATAATGATTCTGGCGTGCCGCGGATTTCGGTTTCATATCAGATTTTAACGCGCAGGCAGTTTTTACTGTAAAATCCCGTAAGAATGCCCGCTCAAAACAAAGAGATAAACAGTGCAAAACGTAGGGCGGGCTATGGTTGGGAAGCAAAAAAAAAAAACTTTATAAAATATTAGTAATAAACACTGGGGCACCCGCTACGAACCACGTGATACGGGAGCTGATACCGCAGATCGTGACCACGGCAAATTTGCACTTCACAATGCAATAAACACATGGAAATTCGCTACAAACAGCTGTGTAGGGGGAAAGGACGCAGCAGGTTGCAGAAGCATCAGATTCGCATTTCACCCAAGAAAACCATTGCAAACTCGCATGTTATGGGAACCGATGTCGCAGATTGCGGACACAGCAGATTTGCGTTTCACAATGCAATAAAAACGTGAAAACAACACTCGTGTCACGAAAACCGATAGCGTGCGCGTGCAGATTGCGGACACAAACGCGGCAACCCGCTATGGACTCGCTCGTCACATGTAACAATACCGCAGATCACGCGGTTGATGCGATGTCCGACAGGAATCGGGGGGGGGGGAATGTTTTTGAATTTTTATAATATAGATATTTAGCCACAAAATCGGAATGGCCGATCTATAGGAGGAGGGCATGCATGCAGGATTTTACAGTACCTAGTTATACTTCCCTAAAAAAAAAAACAGGTGCACATTAGAATTGGCCAAGTAATATTAAGGTATGAACACATTCCGATTTTCCTTCTCTCTATCCATGCCTACGCTATTTCAGGCTTCAATATAGAGATTTGACTATACTTGCTGTCAAAAGGTACTTGGTTAGATAATGGGTCCCCAGAATTCTCAATCTCGAGGAATGTTTATCTCTCTTGATTGACAGCCAACAAACCCCTCTTGGTCCCGGTTATTAACATAGTGAGGTAGTACAGAAGACTACAGACCTTGTGAATGGAAATGGAATACACATACAAGAGAGCATTTGGCACACAGCTATGCTTCAAGGGGGGGGGGGCTCAGGTCTGCTAAAATACTGCTTAGACTCGAAAATACTTTACTAGGGGGCAGAGGTTGTCCAGAAAATTTAGGGGTTTGGGGAACCCATGAGGGAACTCTGGGGAATGCCTCAATTCTAGGGAACCGAGTTTTGGGACAAATTAATTAGGTTACTTAATGCCAGAAGTAAATAAAAAAACTATGTTGTATACTTAGAAAATAAGATTAAAATTCTAAGCTTCAAAAAATAACTTTTTTTTTTTAGTTGGCATAATTTAATGCAACTTTAAACCTTAACTCCTTGATTTTCGCAAGTTTTTCGTCACCGCTGTAGAAGAATTCTTTGGACGATTTCCCACAATAAAGAGTGTTCGACCCAAGGAAACAATAATAGAAACATGCAAGCATTCATGCAGGTCTTCCATGGGCTGCAATAAACTTAAAATTGCTGAAGTGAGCTTGAACATCATTACCGTTTAAGAAGGTTCAACAAAATGTGCACAACTGCCGTACACAAAAAGGTGACATGCTCTATAGGGCTTGGCAGTTCAAAGTAGCAGCGTACGCACCCTTTGGAGCTGGTAGCTCACCACCAGGAAACCCTTGTTCTGAATCATGTGCTGCTGCACTGTGCTGCTGCTCTCGCACATCTCACAGATAAATCCGATCAGCGTTGCACTGGAACAGAGCAGTTCACAGTTCACGCACGAGTCAGTCTGAAGCTGAGGTACGGTAGGTACTCAAGGGCGCCAGACAGGATACAATACAATTGGGAACCCTAGGCTTAGAAAAAACGTTCTTTAGTTAGACGGGCTGTCTCAAATCCCATGGTGCTTAAAGCCCCACTCCAGTTGTAAATAAAAGAAGTCGCAGGACAATGTAATTTAGCTGTTTGGGCAAAGATGCATAATATCTTAAATTTGGGTGTGCAAGTGCTGATGGCAAGTACCAGAGTTCCTATGTCTAGAGTTTCTTCGGAGGCAAGCAACACCACAATGAGGTGTCAACAAGCAACTGGTGGAGACGTGGCCGCACTTTGCTTTCGTCCATAACCGTATGTTACGGACGAGAGGAAAAAAAACTCAAATGATAATGGGACACAGCATGTGGTCCGATAAATAATGATAGCTAACGTTGCAGAGCGACTCTTCAGAACACTGGAGAAGTCTAACCACTAAAACTCCAGCTAATAAATAAAAGCTTCGAAGCTATTCAAGAAAATCAAGAGCATGCAATAAACCAAGCAGAGTACATAGCGCTCCCCGAATTTAATGGTTGCAATGAGACAATCCATCTTTTTGCTCTCTGATCATGACCCAGCTTGGGAAAGACATTCCAGCTGCTGCGAGGACCAATTAAGTTTTGAGAAGCTGGCAATGTATCAGTATCTGGGTAACCGAGCAGAGGTGCTAAGTTCAGGAAGCACCGTACGTTCTGAGAAAATACCAGCCCAGCAGCGACGCAACTTCAGAAAGCAGACAAAAGATGCGCATTGAAGAGAGTGGGCGAGCCTCACCAAATGGTGGGTTTCTTGTCCTGTGAGCCCGGCAAGGGCAGCAGGCCCATGGGGTAGTCTAGTTGAGCAAGCAGAGGAAACAACACTTGGATGCCCCCAATCGAGTTGAGGGTGCTGTGGATGGAATACGTGGTGACCGCCTTCACGTCCTGCAAAGACCACAATCATCCTTAGCCTTCTGCCATTCGCCGCAACTCCGTAACGTGTGTTACATCATCAAGCTTCGGGAACCTGAGGGATACTCTCAAAATCTGTGGTTCTCAAATGGGGTCAGCAGACCGGACACATGGGTGAAGGCCTTCCTAGAGTCCCCAAAGCCCTCAACCATCAGTTAAGCCAAGTAAAAAAACTTTTTTTCTTTATTGATGCTGACCAAAGTCAAAAGTCAAATTTCAATTTTGACTTTAGCACCTCGTTCGCTACATTTGGGTGAAAACTAAGCACTCAACAATACATAGTTAATTTCTGTGAGTAAAAAAAACACCGTAAATTTCGGTGGGGGGAGGGGGGGGACACTGTATTCTACGGCAATTTAGGGAACACTCCAACGCACGGGCAATAAAGCAACAGAAAAAGGAACATTCAAAGCACCGTGGCAAAGCGGGCGGCCCGCACTCGCATCGACCGGCAGTTGCGCCCCCTCACCTGAAGCATGAGAGAGTGCGGTGTGTGGACGTAGTAGGAGACGTTGCCCTTGGGCGCCGCCTGCAGACACAACTGGCTGTCGGTGGCCATGGGGTTGTACATGAACACCATGGCGCTCGACAGCTTCCCATCGTACAGCACCTGCACAGGAGGGGGACGTCACGAGCGACGCCACCGGGGCCGGATACTTTTCCCCCTCTTTTCAGACGAGAATCTCGCACGGCCCTGCTCGAGGCTCTACCGGCAATCGGCACAAAAGCCACCCACAGCGATATACCGGGCAAGCGCACACCCAAATTTAGAGGTGATCGTGAAAAACTTGGGAATGGATGTCTCCAAGGAGAAAGACGTCGCAGGGATACATGATGGGGTAGGCTTTACCACTTTGCACTAAAGTGCTCGGAGAAGCAGCTGACAAGGAGGAGCATGTCAGATACACCCTTGTAGAGGATCAAGAAGGAAAAAGACAAAGCGAGGGTGAAGACAAAGTAAAAAGGTTAAGGCAGTTTGAGCGAGACTAATTAAATGGTATGAGAAATCATTGCTTGGCCTCTCGACCCTCTCCACTTTAGCAGAGTCAAAGCCGGAGAGGAGGTGAAACGAGGCGAGGAGAGACTCTCTCTTTCTCCGGCGTTTGCTCTGCTGAAGTGGAAAAGGTGAAAGGCTTCGGGGGAGGTACGCGCCCCGATTTCATGAACCCTCAACACGGTATAACTAGGTGGTCTCAAAAATCTGGGACGGGTACTTGATACGTCCATTGTCCAGTTTTCAAAACATTTCAAAGGTAGTGGGTAGGTACTTATTGTGCATGGGCACACGCTGGATATTTGACAGCAACTTCTTTACGTTAGCAAAACGTTTGTTTTAAGATACGCTCAAATTGCATTAGCTTATGACAATACTGAAACCATTGAATGATGTGCGAGGGTTAATGATAGTTTATGTCCGAAAGTACCCGAGGCTGCTAGGAAGATCTTAAAAGGATGCCTCGAAGAAGCCACAAAGCGGCAGCAGGAGCTTCGCCAAGGAACTGAATCTCTAAGCAAAATTTAGACTTTCATGTCAAATAATTCAAACTTCTGTGTCAAATAGTTTAGGCTCGTCTTTCAATCACTCTTTGTTCACCACCAATCAGCCTGCGACCCCGCGATTTCTTGTTTCAGATGTGACAGGGCATTTCTTCTGCCTCTTTGTGAGCGCACACTGTGCCGGCACTAGAATGTCATAAGTGCAATGACGAGTTCATACTTACGCGTTTCAGGCTTTCGGGGAGGGTCATACTCTCCCCTTCGAACCTGAACTGGCTCTGAAAACAAAAACAGAATGAAAGTCCCCGTCAGGCACTTTGTTTCCCAAGGGAAACTGTCAAGGACTGAAAAAACTGTGAGTGCGCCGGCGAGCTGAGACATTCTTTTCCCCTGTCTTTCTTCTTCGACTCAGTTTCCTTGCTTTTACCACAGTCTCGGGTTTTCTACATTATGTCAAGGACTGTTGACTGCAGCAATTCACGGGTGCACCGCATGGCAGAGACCACGTCTCGCCCACTACAAAAGGCTCACACCTATGGCCAGATTCATCCTCTAAAATCTGTTGAGGTACGAAGCCCACCTTGTGTGGATTTCAGATACACAATGTCTGTTTAGAAGTCCTCAAAACTAGAGTGATCAAGTCAAAATTGTTCTCCGGAGATCGGTCATTACTGCCAATTCAGTCTTGGTTAAAAATATGTTTAACCTTCTTTAATCCAATTTTAGTGAAATAGTGGAGTTATGGTCTTGATGTATTTGTAACAAAAGAGAAATGCTATTAAAATAAATAAATAATGCAGGTTCCTTTATACATATTTAGTCTAAAATATGGTACAAATACATTACAAATATGTTACAAACTTATTTGAAATATGTTACAAATGCATATGAAATTATACAAGCTTGATAATGCTGACAAAGATGGGTAAGCACAGAATGTGTGTGATAGGCCTTCCAAGAGAAAAAAAAAGAAAAAAGAGAAGGGCGTAGCGCGCGACCGCTCGCCCACTGTGCAAAAGACCTTTTGAGTAACCCCGACCACTGGCCTTGGATAGCTCAGTCGGCAAAGCACTTGGCTCACAACCTCAAGGTGGTGAGTTGAAATCCTGCCGGGGGCTGAAGTCTTTGGTAGCTTTATAGGCCACCCAACCTCAGGAGCCTCGTAAGCAAGAAATGTGTATTTCCGTAACCGCTAAATGATTTTGAAAAAGACGGCAACTGGTGCCAGAGATCGAACCCATATCACTAGTGTAGAAGCCGAGTGCACTGTTGACTAAGCTACAAACCCAGCACACAGGAACGGGAGGAGCAGAAGCAGGTGGTGTGAGAAAGTGTGCGGAGCAGAAGGGTGGAAAGGGCAAAAAAAGAGGAACAAAAACCAGTGGTATAGAAAAAGTGTGCCAAATGAGAAGTGGAAAGGGCAGGAAAGTGTGCTTCCTCTCTCATGGTGACCCAGCAAATACAGTGCAATGGTTTTGTATCTCAGAGGTGCTGCGGGGGAACGCACGTAACGTCACAAAGAGACGATGATGTGACAAAATGAGTTTCTATAATAAACCCTGCCTAGGCATTACCTAAACTAAAAACACCACTCACCCCAGGCACTGAAAAACTAAGCGTCAACATGCAGCCAATTATATTAATTACAAATATGTTCCAAACACATATAAAGATACAACAGCTCCCATTGCCTGACAGGTCACTGGAAAACCGTCAAAAAAGCGAGAGAGAAAAGGGTGCAGCAATTCAACCTGGTATCCAGGGCCGAGCCTGTGGATGGCACACACTTGGTGGGCGGTCAAGGCCTCGGAAAACAAGTAGACGGCAGACATCTGGCCGCAGAAGACGTGCTCGTCGTCCAGCTCGGGGGCAGCGCCGATGTAGCACTTGTCGAACGGCTGCACGGCAGGAAGAAGCAACAGATGGCAAAGGACGGTAAGGTACCACTCCGGAGAGGAAAACAAATGTACACTGTGCAACACCGTGTGTGCAAATATGACATCGGTATATAGAACACAAAAAGCGCGAAGAACAGAAAAGGATAGCTGTGAAGGAGAAGTCAGGACTGGTGCTCTTCATGTTCAAGATAGTACCCCAATTGAGCACTTTCGATTTCACTGGAAGGTTTAAAGACGGCCTTGTCCCGATCATGCTTGATAAACTCGGAGATTCACAGACTGTGTTGCGAATGAGCTGGGCACATGCTGTTTGTTTGTCTGATCTCAAATGACGTTATGGTGTCACGTGAGCTCATGGTGATATGTGATGTCGAACGATGCCACGTAACGTTGCAATGTGACGTGACGTTAGGTTTGGCACGTTCATTTTGCCAAAACGAGTACCGTTGCGGTTGTTCGAGTGCTTGCCAACTTTATTTCTTTGTACTCAATGCACGACACCGTTGTTTTTCCGCAAGATTAAGCTAGAAAAGAAACTCGAGACACAAATCTTACAGGTGCCGCTTTGCCGCTTTTTTGTGCACATAAAAGCGTCGCCAGCAGTAAGGGGCCCGTCGGGACCACCGATGTCCGCGTCAGTGCCCGCTGTTCCAAAACGGCCGAAATTCACGGATAGACGATGGACCCTTTCCACTAGAATACTATTCTAGAGGAAAGGGCACACCGTCGGGTCGTAGAATACTCAACGACTCGACTGGTGTGAATCACATCAATGCACCGAGAAAGGACTCGCCTCATTTGTGCTGACGAACCAGCTCATCTCCGTGGAAGACGCAAGCTGGCCGTTGACAAAGCACTTTATCTCGCTCTTGCTCCACCGATTGTAGATGTACACAATGGCCACCGTGTACCACTGAAAAAGGACACCATGGCTGGGCACAATTTGACAAACCAAGTATGTGGCGCCTGGAATGTGACTTTGACCGTGAAGCTGGGGAGCGACCTGCGGCAGAACAGGCGCCTGCCACGCCCGCCACCGCTGCTGTGATGCTACCAAGATCGTGACCAGCGATGACATTACAGTTATACGACGTCGTCGGGCATAAATCGAGGGATTGCTTAGTAGAACGCAAAAAAACGAACCAGTCCGCGACGCATTCCAGGCACCATAACGACGTCTCATGGCATCATTGCCAGTACTCTAGCTACCACATCATGAATCGGCGCATTCCCAGGAAGCACTTCTTCAGTTAGTCAAACCAAAAAAAAATGCTTACTTCTAAAAAGAAAAAACTTTAAATTAGGACAAACAAAATGGACAGACAGAGGTACCAAAGGCAAAAGTTTTTTCGTCCTCATGATGGAAACTCGGGAGAGTGAAAATTAGACTAGGAAAATAGATGACACAGAGGTCTTGAGCAGAAACTTAGAAGACTGTATATGGATATGCTTAAATAGCTAAAAAAAATAACATAAAGCAAAAACGAAAAAAAGAAAGTCACCACATGTAAGACGAACATTAAACAGTCATCACACTCAGATGAGGGTGTCAAAACTACTACACCTAAACGTAAAAAAGGAACAATATTTACAAATTTCTTCGTAGTTTAGTTCCCTCAGTTTCGAATTGCCAACCTGACCTTATACCAATTACCTTTTGGCTAAGAAATTTATTTATTTATTTATGATATATTTTAGAAGTCCAAAAATACACAAAGATCAACTTAAAAAAAAAAAAAAAAATACTCATTTTTTTTTTTTTTTCTTATTTAGCACCATTAAGAGCTCACCTTCCTTGGCTGAAACTCGTACTTGACGCAGTGCTGGTAACCCTTCCCTTTCACCTTCATGGATGTGAAGATGAGGCAGTTCCCCACAAAGTGCGCAGAGTAGCCTACTCCCTTGCTTGTACGGAAGCTGAAACAATCACAGCACGGTCGTGGGAAAGAACCTTGGACACAAGATCTCATCGCCGTACAACGCAACCCAGGACGAGTTGCCTCCGCCATCTTGTGACTCTTGAGTCACAAGATGCCGGATTAGCCACAAGCGAAAACAACACGGACTAGCCACAAGCAAAAACATCCACATTAATAAACACTCAACACAAAACCTTTTTCTTTTTTTTTTTTTTCTTTTTAAGTGTCTGGATAGAACACATGTCACAAGAAAAAAAAAATGTTTTGGTGCAAGGGTTACAATGGAAGACTTATTTCGAGTTTGACAACACAACACAAAACAACAAGGTCCTTTTATTTTGTTGCGACGTGCCGAAAGAGAAGAACGTTCCTGAACTGCTCCTAGGTCAAGATGTGTCTCGCAACAGTAAATACCGAGTAAAAAGATTTTGTTTTTCGGGAAACTTTATATTGTGACATATGGGTTCTATCCAGTAAAAAGTGGTTTAGTGTCCCTTTAAAGGCCTTCCTTTTTTCCTGGGCCAAAGTCGGACTTGTTGGTTGTGATCCCTGGAGGCACAAACCAGAGCCTACAGTGGGGGTCCCTACCAGTAAAGGAACGGCTTTTCCCTCTCAATGCTGACACTGTTGATCGGGTCTAGCCGGAACCAGGTGTAGAACGTCCAGCCATTTTGGTAGGGCCATCGTGCCAGAGGCGGTAGAGCAATCGCCTGCAACCGCAAAACAACACACATTTCACACAATGCGATAGAACTGTACACCAATGGGATCTGTTTACAAAGCGACCATAGTTGCCCGCGTTACTGTTGAGCATACGTCACCGGCAAGCGTGTACTGCGTGGATCCGTCACATCCGCTGTTCTTAACAAAAGTAGGGCTTCGTGCTGTCGGATAAATCCGAAAAATCCCGAAGAACATATTTTCCGTCAATTAAAATTTATTCGTAAAACTCAAAATTTGGGGGTTAAAAAAAAAAGCAAAAAGGACTGAGTTTTACAAATAATCGTTATAAGAGCACAACTGCAGTGGTCCTGAGGAGATGCAACTTCAGTTTCTTTTGAAATCTTCAACTACTGACAAGAGAGGGTTTGCCTTTTCGCTCGTCAAGGTTCCTTCAGGACAATGGGTCATGGTACCTGGGTTTTACTTATTTTGTTTTCGAATTTTTATAAATTGGGAACACAGTCAAATACACTCAGAATTTCAGAGAATTGGGAATCTTACAGAAAATAAACTCCAATAAACCCCAAATTTTCAGCGAAAAATAAACTCCGAAAAACAGCCTCCCAATTTCACGAGAAGTAAACTCCGAAAATGTGGAATCCGAGTTACAAGATACTAGGTACTTTGCCCCATCCTGGGCCATTGATCAAATTTAAGGCCTACCATCCAGAGTCTTTGTGTGGCTGTGTCCAATTTGTATGACGTAAAGAGGACAGCCGAAAATATTCCCGAGCGAATTATTTGGTCATTGAAAGGCGTCTGAATTTTAAAAAAATACTGCCACTACCCTGCCTTAACTTCGGCTGTTTCCTTTCACTAGCGATAGATTCAAATTTTATACTAGGTACATTTCTATTGCACATCCTCATCACATCTCTACGGTTTTGCTTCTAAAACCTTCATGTGCTGGCGAGCCCGTAGATTCGCACGTGCCTGCGTGACGTCAGAGGACGTCCTGGTAGCACAAACACGCGCACATGCATATCTGCAAGTTCCCCGGTGCTGTCGGGCGGTTCACTGGCAGTATACAAGACACCGAGGAGACGCAAAAGAGTTCTATAGTCACTGATGAAATGAGAATGGCGGGAAGGTCTTCGCGTTGTCCCGCTTCTGGCATCAGCTTCTTACCTTTGATCGCACTTCAGCATCTCACGAGCTTCGAGTGAATGCGCAAAGCCAGGGCACGAAGCGGGCAGCGAGCCTGTGCTGGAGGCTGGGGGCTAGCGGAAAGCGACGCCCTGCCCTTTCCATCCCGCCAATGACTGTAGACGGTGCTTACGGACGAGCTGGTTTCCACGCGGGCCTCCGACAGGTATCGTAGGACCCCGACACGTTACGGGCAGTTCACATACTTCGCACTGCTGTTACATAATGGTTACACACTCGCAAAACCAAGTGGTGCTTTGTGATGTGGGATAGCTTTCAATGTCTAGCAAGTTTAAAAGCCTAAGCCGATGCGATCATAGTGAAGTGAAGTGAAGAAAAAAAAAGGGAGAGTCGACATACCGCTCCCTTCTTGCCGGAGAAACTGAAGAACGAGTCTGGGCCCTGTCTGTGAGGCATTTGGCGTAGGACGGACATCAACTTCACAGAGTGCCTTGGCTGCAGAGTGGATGCAGAAACGCGGTTAGGCGTAGCACCTTGTAACAGAAGCACGAGGAGGGAGAAAACTATGTGCGACGTTTCCACGGGGGACGGCTGGGTTTAAAGCCTCCTGTAAGTTGTGGGTGGTTTCTAAAAACTCCGATTTGGTATTGGGGAAGAGGTCACATTACGTGCACATTATACCGTTTTGACTAGCGCATAAGCATTAGCCCGGCATGTTTCACAGGAAAAAAAAAAAAGCCCAGCAACCTGACTCAGGCCCTCCAATTACTTTTCTCGTTTTAGGACTATAGTTTATACATTATCAGAAATTGAAACATCCACCAATTTTGTCTCACAGGAAGTCAATGTGGTCACCCACAACATAATTTTGGTCTCTCTCGAGATGGTTGCTCACCAAAACACAAATTGATGAAAATCCAACCAAGTCTTAGTGCAAGATGCAGTACTTATGAATGCAGTTTTGCAAACACCAGAGCTATGGCAGTGGGTCTCAGACCATTGATCAAAATCCATGTGTGTGCAATGGAGGTGGGTTCGAGACTCCTCAATACCTTCCAACCATTATGACAGCCACAGATCTTGTCTCGTGGCAATACCTCAATAACTTTCAGTTTAAGCTATCCATAAATCTGATCTATACTATGCCAATAACAGATTTAGGAATAGCCTGATGCATGCACAAAACAATGAGTAAAAATGAGATTCAAGGAATGGCAATCACCTTGCACTGACTAGAGGAAACGGGGTCATTAAAACAATGGTGGGTTTAACGAAACAAAAAAGCCAAATGCACTCACCCATTTGCTACCGGTGGCCTTCATACATCCAACTAACAGTTTGAGCTCCCGCACTGTGATGCTATAGCTTGCCAACACACCCAACATTTCGATTACTAGGTCTGAAAGGAAACCATGAGCTGCATTTAACGAGAGTGCCAACCCCAAATGTATGTTTGGCTCCAGAAACACCGAACGCTTCCAGTGTACTGTTCCTCACTATGTCTTTTGGGTATGAATATCAAAAGCTCACTGACTGGTTGTCACAGCCAGTGAGCAAAACTGAGCATGTCTAACCATGTGACAAATCTGCTGTCCTAATACATGCTCCTTTTGTTTTGAGACTGTAAAAGTCTAAGGGTGTCGGTACTCTGTAAGTACATGGTGACTCTGGTTGCCACATTGTCGTTTTCTCAAAGATCTTCTAAACCACCAACTTAAATTAAAAGAATGACTTGTGTTCTGGCTGCATAACAGTGACTACAACAAATTTGATTATACTGGGTCACCCCTGACAATTTGAGTAAAAGTACCACTCTCAAAACAAGAGGGTGATTTTATAAATTGACTGACTGAAGCTTTAGGCACAATTCTACAACACCATTCTTGAGGGACCAAAAACCACAAAACTGGTCATACATAATCTTTCTACTACATCATGACAGCTAGCGCAAAATAAAAAAGGTTTAAAAAAAAAGAAAGTATCATTATGAAACAGTGGTGATGAGTGAGTGATGAGACGTCATCCTGACTATTTTCTGTTCCTTCTATGTTTTGATGTTTCTCTTCTACCCCAGTTTCTAATTAATTCAACATGGTTAATGAAATTAAGCACTTCTAAAGAAACCCACAGTTCATCTTGTGTATGTACACATACTGTTTCCATCCAAACCGGTAAAAGCAAGGGTCAAAGTATTTAATTTGAATTATTTATAACATACTATCGAACTACTATACTAGCCAAAGTAAAAGTGGTTCCGTAGTAAAATATTGCATGAATTCACCTACTATAATCATAACAATAACTAACACATGATCACTATATTGAATTGAAGATATTGGATTGTGAGAAAGGTTCAATGTTACTGTTTCTGACAGGTTCAGTAATGCTTGCCAATCATCTATCCACCATACAAAAAAAAAATCTATATGTCTGCCTTGTTTATTAACACCCGTGTAAACAAATTATCCTAAGCGATTGACAATGAAGAAATCAAACCCAAATATTTTGGTGCAACCAATTAGATGTCTCTTTTCACATTTATGGGAGCAAGTCAATGTCGATGCCGTAGCTTGTAACAGTCAACACACAAAAAAGTATAAAAATATATATAAAAAAAGAAGTACTGACCAGCCACAACTTCTTCCACCTGCGAGAACCTCTGCAGGATGTGCTCAATGAGCCCAACCTCAGTGCAAGCCTGCAGGTTCCTCATGCTCTTCTTCAGGATGGCAATAAAGACACTCCAAACTTCAGCCTGCCAGTCAGCAACAAAACAAAAAAAAAAACAAAAAAACATGTCCTTCCTTTGCGTAATAACAACAAACAAAAAAAAATTGGCAGTTGCATTTTGATTTATTGATCAAACTGTCCAGTTTCAGCCTCCGGGGCATGCGATGCGGTGTGTAGTGTCGCCATCCTCCTTTTATAACGTGTTTTTTTTTTTTTTTTTTTAAGGTTGTTTTTGAAGTTTTTGGGACTGGCGAAATGGTTTTTAAGCATCTCTCCTGCCTCCTAGATTTTTTTTTTTTTTTTTTTTTTTAGTACGTTGTGTAGATGGCTGAGCTCGCGGCGCAAGTGTTTCTTTGGCAACCGGTAAAGTCTCTTCGGTCGCGGCACGCCTCACTTTTCAAGATAAATCACAGTTGGTTTCTGCGAGAATGCCATTCTTCTCGATTAAAACATCGAGAGCGTGGGATGAGGAGGAGCACTGGGGCACGGTCGGCAGCACGGTGATGAGGAAGATGTTGTGATGGAGGGTTTGGTGTCAAATCGCGGCGACAGATGGCGCCACCTCACCGGCACGCGGCTTCGAGGGCCCAAATTTCAGAGTGTCTCCAATATGCGATGACGACGACCTAATTTTCTAAAATTACGTGACCAAAATTAAGTCGTCCGAAAGCGTCTCCGAGCTTAGCTCAGCCTCTACGGTCGCCAACCAGTTTGCGACGCGGCAACGCACGTATGCCTATCACCCGTTCGCGTCATTTTGTTCCATCTTATAACACTTTTGTGTTTTCGATTGCTTCTCTCTCATTTGCATAGGTGGTGCTTGTGTGTGTTTTCGTATGGCTCTTTATATCTGCGATTGTGGGTGTATCAGCAAGGTAATCTGAGCAAGAGGCGTCCGCCATTCAATTGTGAATGCACTCCGTAATTTGCGTTGCTCCCTCTCTTAAATCTAGGCTCCCCAGCGCAGCTCGCGGCCACGCGCGGCCGTGAATCAAGGCACGTGACATCGCGCACCTGTGACACGTGTCCACGAGTGCCACTTAGCGTCCCCCCGCCACGCGACTACAGAACATTTCCAACTCTCCGCGCGATTTGCTACTAAGTTCGGTGATATAAACCGGCATTTGTATTACGTAATACGAAAAAAAAAAAAGGGGGAAAGGGGGGGGGGGGGGGAGATACACCCTAAAGAAACTGGTTATCTGTATTACTCGACGACACTTTATCAGCGAGGCTTCGAAAGGACCACTTAAGATTAAAGGAAGAGGTCACAAACCAGACAAGTAGAGAGGGCCCTAGGGGCCACCCCCCAAGGGTCCTAGACTCGCCGGACGTAAAGTTGGGGCGACGATGTCACCACGCTTTTTGTCGCCGAAGTTCGAGCGGTCCGCTCCGTGAGCTTTCGGCTCAATCTGCCTGTTTGGCGAGTCCAGAGCTCCAGGGCATCGAATAAGCGCAATACTCCGAGGCACTATGCCCTTGTCTGGAGGATGGATTCGCGAAAGCAAGCACAAACAACCCGTCGAGGGCTTATACCAGCTCGCCTGCACTCTCTCACTGCTTACAATTATACGCCCATTTGGCAGTCCAGATAAAATCTTTTTTTTTTTTCTTACTTATGTTAGCCTGCAGAGCCTACAGGCCATTGACGCAGGAAAGTGGCAAAGGTACAGATATACCGATAAAAAAATTCATACACACACAAATATGCATGCACTGATAAACTCCACTAGCATGGGGAAGATAACTGATAACATAGGAAAGAAATCATCCATTCACGTTCAATTAACAAATATTTAAAAATACAAGTTACTCGAAAGCATCCGAGCAATACTACTGGGAAGGAAATTCCATTCTAAACTTAATATTAAAAAAAAAAAAAAAAAAAAAAAAAAACAGAAAACGAACATTTAAAAGCCGCGAATTCTCTGATTCTGCCAGAGTGATACGACCTTCATGAAATTAAATATGGCGGACACAAATCAATTGCGCAACAACGCAAGAAAGGCCGGGGATCAAAATGTGGGCGGGACTCGCCTGGAGGCTAGACGGGCAGTGGTCCAACAGGTCCAACATGTGGAGGATGTTCTGCGGATGCTGAATGACGAAATTTAGCTCCATGTCAAATTCACCACCAACAAGCTGCAAAGAGAAGAGCGGGAAACGTCAACCAAGAAGCGAGAACTAGTATTGAACTAGGCAATTGAAACACATAAAAGACACTGAACATAAATCTAAAAATAAAATAAAATTGTAAGGTTCCAAGCGAGTTGGTGGAAGTTCAACATTCTGTTTCTATGTGTCTGCTTTGTTCCGAAGTTTTCCCGGTCTATGACGCTTTTCGTCGTGTTTACCGTAAACGGCTTAATTTTTCGCGAGGACCTCACTTTCGCGAACTTCAATAATAACCCAAAAAATAGAACTCGTGATTGCGTTCCTACGGCAACAAATACACATAGCACGTCCTCAATCGCGAAATCTCGTACCCGCGGAATATTTCAGCAGAAAACCACAGCTCGCCGAATTCGCGAATATAAAGTCGTTTCCAAAAATCTAAAAACCCTTGAAAAAAAAAAAAAAAAAGCAAAACAATGAATTACAAAGCAGTTAAAGAGAAAGAAAATGCAGCCCGGTGTTAATCCACTGTAGTCCCAGCGGTATTTGCGAAGTCGTTGGGCATGGGCATCACGTGATCAACAGCTTTAGAAACAAAATCGACAGGTCCATTTTGTTTCGAAAGCTTTTGTTTCCTTTTTGTACCCGAGTGCGCGAAGGCACGTCTCCCTGCACAAGCCCTTGGCACCGAAGATGCTACGGTGGCATTTTATTGTTAACTATTTCTCCGTTTTTTTGTTTGTTTTGAGAGAGAGAGAGAGAGAGAGCGTGCACACAGGATCGCATCCCGCGGGCAGCGGGCCCGGTTCTTTTCAAGGATTTGGCAACATGGACGACAGACGCCTCCACTGCGACAACTCCTACGACAACTACAATTTGCTACTACGACTACCACAGCCGCTGCCGGTTTCCATCGTAAGAACTGCATATAGTCTTCCTGCACAAGCGATTACTCCGCTGCCGGTTCGCGCGAGCACAGTGCGCGAGACAGCACACGGCTGTCTCGTGCACTGCCTGCTGCAGTGGTGTAGCCAGGAAATATTTCGGGGGGAGGGATCGGCAGTATCCAGGAGGGAACACGAAACGCGAGAAGGAAGAAGCGAGACCGCAAATCCATTCCGGGAGCAGAGTCGACGCAAAGGGAGCGCGACGTGAGCAGGGCAAAGCGGCGCTGATAACGAGTACGATCAACGAGATGAGGATGAGAGCTACGAAGGGGGTGGGGACAAACGGACTGATGTTGCTGGAAAAAAATGTTTCATCGAAAAAAAAAAAAAAAAAAAAGAAACGCCGGACAGCAAACGGAGAGATGGACAGATGAAAAAAAATAATGATAATATTAAGAGAGCGAAAGCGCGAGATAGAGGGAAGGGAAGATTGAACGGAGAAAGAGAAATCGCCGGGGACAGGCGAAGGCTCAGACAGGACAGACCAAGAAAAACAAACAGAAACACGGATATCAAACAGAAAGAAAGAAAAAGATCGGCAGCCAAAAACGACAACAAAAGAAAGATAGAAATAGAAGGAAAAGAAAGAATATTGCTGAAGATAAGTCGTGGCAAACAGAGAGAGAGAGAGAGAGAGAAAAGATGCGAACGAAAGGGATAGGAAGAAGAAGAGTGAGCGAAGGACAAGTGAAAACGAAGAGAAAGGGACTCTGAGATAACGATAGCGGGGAAAGGAAATTCGCCGAAGACAAGCGAAAACACTACGGATAGACGTAAAAAAACAGAACGAAGAAAAAGAGGAAAAAGCAACGCATGAAGTCGAGATATAAAGAAAGAGAGACGATTGGCGAGGAGATTCGTTGGCACAGCGCGGATCACTACACTCAAACTGCCTCTTCACTAGCACGCGCCCGAAGAATGGAGGAAAACGTAAATAAATAAGTCCGTTTCCTTTCAAACGCCAACACACGCAGAGATCAAAAGAAAGAGGGAAGAACAAGAAGGAAACGAGAAGCAAAAGCCCATTCCGAACCACCACTGCTTTCCAACCGGAATCGTTCCATCTTGTCATCTCCTCTCCCCTTCCTCCGTCCCTCCCTTCTTCCCCTCCCCCGACACAGCATCCCGAGGAGGCTCGCGCAGAAGCAAGCACGAGTCAACGATCAAATCCCAAACCGGGAGCAAACGGTCATGAACCGGCTCCTCCTCCTTTCAGCCATCTTCTCAACTCTTTCCTTTTTTGCTTGTTCTAGGTCACTTCTCCATTTTTCTTTTCTTCTCAATTTATTTTTATTGTCCAATTTTCCTTTTTTCTTTCTAGTCTCTCTCTCTCTCCCCTTCTCGGCCTCTAGGGGGTTACCTCCATAGGGCTCCCGTGTTAATTTCACCTTTCTCGAGTCCAACACTGGCAGCTAATTAACATGGATGTTACGTGCAATTAGTGCGGATGGCACTCTACCTGCCACCTCCCTTTCATCAGACGACTCCGCTCTCTGCCCGTGGGGTGGGGCGAGACCGTGACCACGTGACGAGAGGTACCGCTGGTCCAACGGGCAGGTAGATACCGCCGCACTGTCAGCGGAATTCTAGCGCTACTTAGTGCAACTGATGTACACAGTACAAGGTGCGACCGAGAAAGGTAAACCCGGTATTTTAGCCCGCACAAATGAAGTAGCCTTCGCAGAAAGCTGACGATCCGTGAGAAAGTGGCGATAAAATGCGTAAATTTGAGCACATTACGTTCCCCGGATAATATATAAGCCGACGTCCACCTAAGCCTAATTTTCATCATACCAATATTTAAGCTTGTGGGCCACCTGCAGCATTTATTTTAGTAAAAGAAAAAAAAAAAAAAAGAGCTTGTCGGTTCGAAAGGCAGTATTGTTTTCTTTTTTGGTAACAGGTTTTTCTTCGCTGACCTAATTGCTACACGCGTCCATAAGCTCAAAGGTCGGAAGGATGAAAATTAGGCTTAGGTGGACGTCGGCTCATAGAGAGGTTTCGTTTTTTCTTTCGTAGATTTTGATCCGGGGAACGGAATGTGCTCAAATTTTCGCGTTTTGTCACCACCACCAGGGCCGTGTTCTCGCGGAGTTTCAGCTTTCTACGAAGCGTAGTTTACTTATGCGGCCTAAAAAGCCGGGTTTACCTTTCTCGATTGGACACTCTACATCTTACACACTTTCTCACTTCCCTCCTCCCTATGCCCAAGTTACCATATTCCTTTCATTTCCTTCTCACCCTTTCTCAAGATGTAGCACGAGCATTTTCTCGATCTCCTCGTATACGGTCTTCATCTGACCCGTTGCTAGTTCCAATATCACCCCCCCCCCTCTTTTTTTACGCGTTCTTAGCTCCGCCCCTTTGACAGTCTGATCGTACCATTTATCCCCACATCCCCAATGTACACAACTCACACACACACGTATATATCCCCAATTCTCCGAGAGCAAAAATATCCTCGTACTTTTCTCGGTTTCCAACCCCTCTCCTTCGCCCAAAAACAAGAAACCCGCAAAGCTAAAACAAAAAGACTAAAGAAGTATATCCCGCCCTAATCTCGAACCTTTCCAGCGGTTGCTTCCCCTATCCCGTCGAGGGCAAAGAAGGGAAAGACAATGAAACAAGAGAGAGAGAGAGAGAAGCAATCGAAATGAAAGTGGAGAAAGATTAATCGTGTGCTCGGAGCACGGGAAGTGTCCCTCTAGTAGAGAGCCCTAAGAGACGGAGCAGAGTGATCCCAACGGCGCATGCGCCGCGTACCAGCGTGGCGAGGAGGAAAGCGGCCCGAAAGGCGGAGACGCTTGCAAGCGATCGACGCTTTCGTCATCCCCCCCCTCGCAGCCCGTATTGCAAAACGCGGCCCACAGACCACGTGGAACCCCAAACACTCTTTCAAATCGGGGCACATTACTCGCAACAGCGAGTAATGACAAAGAAAATGGGAGAGTCTCCGGGGGGCTCTCCTTTTGTCGCGAGACGCTGCGACTCTTCTAAAAAAACAAGAGAACGCGACGAACCACCGAAGCCAATCCCAACGCTTCGTGTGAATGTCACGTGGTTTCCGGGAAGGTGGCAGCGAGACGCGCGCGCTTTGCATAGTCACGCGACGCGTTCGCACAACTCGATTGACTGCGATGTTCCCGTAGCGTTCGTCGCGGTCCATCATCGTAAGCTGAGTGCGAGCACAGCGCCGACCACTGTTCGTGGAAGCGGCGGACGCACGCAGGCAGCGCTGCACACACGCACACAGCCGGTCGCAGAAATCTCTTTGTAAAGCGAAAGGCATGCTACTGATGCTTTGTATAAATCTAACTTCTTCCGACACGTGTGGAGTGACGGAATCGTACGGAGTGTGTCACGGGACCTTCGGAAGGGCCGCAGCGACGCGAGGGGCAGTCAATCACGTGATACGTTCTCGGCGCTAAGATTGGCTCGGATGGCTCCTAGCTCCCGCCTACGTTCAACCTGAAGCCTAAACCAAGTTTGCTTGGAGGCAGTCGGACTGAGCGAATGAGGGCCAAGCCCACGGCGCAGGCCATTCTGCCGCCGCTTTGGGTAAACACGCAAAACAAACACACGCACGCGCAGGCAAGGCGTGGGCGTGCCTGCGTGCGTACGGTATACGCGGGCACATACAGGCGAAAGAATAGTACACATAAAAAAAATAAAAGTAAAAATGTGCGAGGCAAAGAACTCTGGACTCGGATTACGACGAGTCGGAAAGGTTTTTTTCTTTCTTTTCCTTTCTTTTTTTTTTTTTTTAGCCGGGATTAACAATATGCTCCTTTCTAATTTTTCCTTTTTCTCGAGTTCACATTTTTTTTTTTTTTTTTAACGCGACTAGTGTTTCTGTGCCGCAGCCGTACGAAATTGGCTCCTTCAACAAAGAAAAAAAAAGGAAAAAGAAAGAAAGAAAAAACGACAACGAAAGCGAAAAGTGGAGACTCAAGTGCCGTCTCTGAGATAAGTCTCGGGTGGCTTTGCCATTGGTGCTGAGCTAAGAATAGTGTGTACGGCTTCAAATCCCCCCCCCCCCCCCCCCCCCCCCATTAAAAAAAAAGAAGAAATAAATAAAAA